TGATCAAAGTCCCACAGCCAGCCAGCAGCAGACGAAGACCAGAAGCCAGATGGGGTCGTCCTCTTTTCTAAACTTCAGTTTCCAATTCTAAACTGGGGATGACAAACCCAGCCTGGGGCACCACTTAGAAACTGTAAAGCACAGTGCAAAGGTAGTAAGAAATCGGTATTTTTCCCCATGGCCTGGAAGTCTGGGTGGAGGAGGGTGGGTTGAGGCGCAGGCAGGAGCACTTATGACTTTCAGAGGATTCATCCAACCCATTTATTCTAGCCTTTCCCCAGAGGCCCAGGCCACAGAGTGGAGGAGGAGGGTATTAAATATCGGAGAGTTATTTAAAAGCTGGTTGCCCGCCCCTCAGAAGCAGAGTGTGGCCTCTGCTGACTCAATGGAGAAAATGAATCTTGGGTCTATGGATTTTCCTGTGTCTCATGGCAGTGGGGGGAGGGGGGAATGAGAAACGGGAACAGCAAAGCCTGCAGTGGAGTTTTCCCCTCCCCACCAGCGCAGATGCTACGCAAGAGAACCTGGGGCCTCCCCCGCTACCTAATGACTGAGCTTCATCATGTCAGGCCTGCCGGGCTGCTCCTCCACTTGTCTCAGAGAAAGGGGGGGGCAGAGGGAAAGGGAGGCCAGCGTGAGGGCCGCCAGGATAAAGGGAGCCTGGATTGCAGGCTGCTACAGCATCAGACTTAGGAGGACCCCCAGACTATCCTACCACTGCTCTATAATTGGGGGGGGGGCAAGTTCAAGGTCACATGTTAAAAAGGTGGGGGCACCAACTTGGGCAAGTCACAGCATTACCTTCCCCTCCATGACCCTCATCCCTAAAAGGCCAAGGGGCACAGGATTCAAAAGCCCTCCGAGATCAGCCCGTGCACACACACCTTTGAAGAGAGGGAAACAGAGCTGGAAAGGCAGACTTGTCTACAGGCTCCAGTAACATTGAGTTGCCCCTAATGGACAGAATGGAGCTGGAGGCAGATGGGGAAGGGCTACCTGCTGGGTGACCTCAGGGAAGTTGAAAACCTCTCCAGGCTCCCTACCAAGGCTTCGTGGAGCTTATAAAGGGTAAGGCCTTTTTAGGGAGAAAAGGGTATAGGAGGTTTAGGGGAAGGAACAGCTCCTTGAAAGGCTGAGAGGGGCTCTGGGACCTAGTGGGGTAATAAACTCAAGAACTGGGGTCCAGCGTGGCTGACACGGGGGATTCTCAACCTGGCACAGGGCAGACAGGATCATTCTGCCTGGGTGGGGCTGGGTGATTCATTTGCTGAGTCCTAAGGAAATCCTGAGTGCCTGTGCTCTTTGCCCACAGGCTCCCCTGGGATCCGACCCAGTCACACTCCCTAGAGAGATAACCTAGGATGGGGAGGGCTGCGGCAAAGGAGATGAGCAGGAAACCTGAGCTCCTGTCAGGCGGGTCCCAGTTAGCTGTGCAACCTTGAGGAAAGCACTTGACCTTTCTGGGAGGCCGTCTCCTGGTGTAAAATGTAGATGGAGGATCTTCACCTAGCTTGCTTCACAAGGGTGGATCGAGCCAGAGATTTTTAAATCATTATTTCATTTTGTAAATGTTCCCTGGTGCCTTCTCCATGCTGAAACTCTGAGCTGTGGGCTGACAACACAAGAAATCAGACAGTTCTGAGCCCCAATTGCTGACAGTCAGGGGGCTCAGGAGAGCTCTAGCCCTCTGATCACTCAGTGAAGTTCAAAGGAGAGAGAAGGAAGCCATGAAGGCTTCCTGGAGGGGACAGAACTCAAGCTGAGCCCTGAGGGACAGTAGGCTGGACTGGAGAAATAGAATCAAGGGGAGAGAGCACCTCAGGTGGGGCAAACAGCGAGCAATCCACTCGATGCATCAGAGAATAAACACACAGCCTCAGACACAACTGGACATACATTTATTGAACACCTACTGCATACTGAACACTGACAACCCCAAGACGGAGAGGGCTATTCCTCCCGAGAACAGAGAGCCCCAAATGGCTCACAGACTTGGTTCTGGGGGAACCTGGACAGAGAAAAGGAACACCTGCACAAAGAGGAGGGTGGGGAGAAGGCAGGGTAGAGGCATATACGGAGACAGCAAGTGGAGACTCACTCCTTTTACTATCTACCAAGAATTTGAGGTATTGAGAGATGAAGGAACATGGAACAGAGCAAAACGACATGGGAACTAATTAGTCCCAGAAAAGGGCAATGCCTCATCTAGAGTCACAAGGATGCTAGGTGGCCAGACCCTAATGATATGGCTTTTCTTGTTTCAAAACCTTTTCCCTTCACGTTATCACAATAGCTCTGAAAGGACCAGGAATGACAGGAATTCAAAAGCCCACCTACTTTGCAGAAGTAGAAGCTGACAGCCCAGAGGTGGAGAGAGGTCCAAGGTGACACCAGACCCACCCTGGCATCTGTTCTTGACCTCAGGTTCCTGGGGTCAGGATGAAATTTCCCTGTGGTGCTGGCCCCTCTCAGTTGCAGCTGCTACCTTCGACAAAGCCCTGGGCAAGGACCCTGGGGCCAGGTTTCTAGGCAAAGCCCTGAGGACCATAGGCTTTGTGGCAAGTCCCTGGCCCTCTGGCCTCACCTCCCCATTTATAAAACACAGTCATTGCCTTGTTCTCTGCCACCTGATGGTCCTAGGTTCCCTCTGGTCCTCCTTTCCCCAACTGAGGTGTCTAGCACCTGCACACACGCCCCAACCCCCTACCACCAAAGCTGCCTGCTACTTAGCAGGCATCAGCCCATCAGAAACCAGCTGCCACGGGACCTGGGGAGGGAGATCGGGCCTTGGCAGTTGGTCTGTGATTTCTTAGTGGCTGGAGGCAGAAGGGGCTCTATGCAGCAGGACAGAAAAGCAAAGACCTTTTCATTCATTCATTCATTTACGAACATTTACTGCACAGTCTCCTGTGCTAGTCCCTGTACCGGAAACACAATAGTGAAGAAGAGCCAGTGTCTCCCACTGGGGGAGATGTCATGGCTGGGGCTTGGAGCTGACGTGGACCTGGACTGGGGTGAGTGCAAGAGCTGAGGGCTCAGCCTCAGTGGCATCTGTTTGAGCTCTTGTGCCCATATGAGAAAAGACACCACACCCTGTTAATTCCACAGACCGAGGGCAGGCGTGGGCTCAGGGTGTGTTGGCCGACCTCTGGATACACGTGCTTGCACGCAGGAGTCTGTAAGCTTGCCCCTCTGAGAACACACCCAGGCACTTGCATGGCCCCAGAGGTAGGAAGGTTCAAATATGCATGTGCTTATGAATCTACGGACACATGTCAGGATGCGCTCAAATCTATGTTTCTATGTGCACGTGTACGAATGAGCCTGCATGTACTTGCAAGAGGCACATCTGAGGCTGCCTGGAACTGTGCACAAGCTTATGCAAGCCTTCCTATGCATGTGTATGCACACCCAAGTGAGCATGAGTGTGTGTGTGCTTACGCGTGAACACACCTAGGTCTGTTTACGTGCTAAGCTTGCTTCTATGTGTACACGTGCATGTACAATTGCACACGTACATCTGTACAGACATGGCCAACATGCCTGTGCAAGTTACTATTCTCATCTGCCAATACTTGGGAGTGACAATGGGGACAGGGGAGAGAAAGGGGAAGGGGAAGGGGAAGGGGAGGCCACCCCCCCCACCCCCAGCATCCACAGCCCTGGGCCTTAACAATGGCCCTTGTCTGAGACCCAGGCCACTGCAGGGTCTACATCTTTTCCTACCTCTTCTCCTTAAGTGGTGTTGATCTGTTGGTTGATCAGTTAAATATAACCTCAGGGAAGGAGTCAACCCAACAATCCCTAATTCAGGTGAAAGAGAATGACTCTTAGGTTGGGGGAAGCCTCTATCCCAACCAGCTCTGCTGATACCAGAAGGGCTTTCGGATCAAGTGTCAGCCTCTCCAGGCTGAATAATTCATGCCAAGGCAAGGAGTGCTCCCTTCTCAGGAGTCTGTCCCTTTAAATCAGGTCTGGAGCTTCCCAGTTCTGGAAAAAAAAAAAAAAAAAAAAAAATCCAGAACAAAACAAACCTATAAACAGCTCAGCCCTGGCCCCTTCTGAGACCCCCACTCCCTGCTGCAAAATCTGCTCCCGGTCTCAGAAACCCTCCTAACCCAGTCAACATTTACAGGTGAGGTACCCTGGAGGGGAGGAGGGGCAGCTGATGGTATCCAACAACCCTAAGGTCCTGAGACCCAGAACAGCCTAGCGGGGGTACCAAGGTGCTGGGGCAGGGAGGGGACAGCAAAGAGCTGAATCACCACACCCACTGGGTCCCCGGGCCTAGGAGAGTGCTTGGGGGAAGAGTCCAGCCTGGTGAAGGAAATCAGATGGAAGAACTCCCTGCAGAGCAGCCAGTGACTTGGGGGGAGGAGGGGTGGAAGGAGGAGGGGATGTCGCTGACTTCCTCGGGGTGGATGGGGTGGGGTGGAGAAGACGTTGGTCTCCCGGGACTCGCAGGGTTGTTGACCGAGCCAGGCCTGATGTAACTGGGGTGGCAGAGGAGGGGGCTGAGGATGGGATTTCCCTCACTCCTAGCACAGCCCTCTCCTTGATCTCAAGGATAAGGTAGAGGCTGAAAAATGAGGAACTTTCCCAGCCCACCCCTCATCCCTGCCTGCGCTGGTAGGAGGAGCCCTAAAGTCCTTCCCCCAAATTCTCGGCCGGCCGGTGATGCTGACCCACCTGCCTGCTCTCCCTAGCCCGGCCCCACCCCACCCCACACATCCCAGAGAGGGAGGGGGAAGGTACCAGCCTAAGCGCGGGGGCTAGGGAGGAGATGAGGGGGAAATAAGTCAGAACCTCGGAAAGCCAAACTTCTCAGCAGTCCGGGAGCCCAGAGGGGGTAAGAGAAAGAGCAGCCGCCGAAAGCCCTGGTTCTCGGGAGCCTCCCACCCCGCCTCTCCGCAAGGAGGGCGCGGAGACACCGCCGGGGGCGGAGGAGGAGGCCGGGAGGCGGGGAGGGGGGAGGCAAACCCTGCCCACTCGGCTCCGAGCCCAGAACGGCCGCAGAAGTCGGAGGCCGGTGCGCAGGGCGAAGAGGGCACCGGGGGCGGGGGGCTCCGCTCCCCGCCTGACCCCTCTCGCCCCAGCCAGGAAAGTGAAGGCTCCTCGGACTATAGAGCCAGCGGAAGAACAGACCACAACCGCCGGGCGCTCCCGATCGAAGACTTGCCCCACCCGCCCCCCTCCCCGCCCCCACGGGGCTCCGAACTCACTGGTGAGCGCGGCGGCAGCCGTGATGGCCCCGCGCGCGGGACAGCCGGAGCACAGGGGTCCGCTGCTGCCGGGGCTGCTGCTCCTGGCGGCGGCGCTGAGCCGACCCGCCGCACCCTGTCCCTTCCAGTGCTACTGCTTCGGCGGCCCTAAGCTGATGTTGCGCTGCGCGTCGGGCGCCGAGCTCCGGCAGCCTCCGCGGGACGTGCCACCCGACGCGCGCAATCTCACCATCGTGGGCGCCAACCTGACTGTGCTGCGCGCGGCCGCCTTCGCCGGCGGGGACGCGGACGGGGAGGAGGCGGAGGCGGAGGCGGCGGGTGGCGTGCGCCTGCCGCTCCTGACCGCTCTGCGCCTCACGCACAACAACATCGAGATGGTGGAGGACGGCGCCTTCGACGGGCTGCCCAGCCTGGCGGCGCTCGACCTGAGCCACAACCCGCTGCGCGCTCTGGGCGGCGACGCCTTCCGCGGGCTGCCCGCGCTGCGCTCCCTGCAGCTCAACCACGCGCTGGCGCGGGGCGGCCCCGCGCTGCTGGCCGCGCTGGACGCCGCGCTCGCCCCGCTCGACGAGCTGCGCCTCCTGGGCCTGTCGGGCAACGCGCTTAGCCACCTGCCGTCCGCCGCGCTGCGCCGGCCGCGCCTGGAGCAGCTGGACGCGCGCCTCAACGCGCTGGCCGGCCTGGGCCCCGACGAGCTGCGCGCGCTAGAGCGCGATGGCGGCCTCCCCGCGCCGCGCCTGCTGCTCGCCGACAACCCCCTGCGTTGCGGCTGCGCTGCGCGCTCCCTGCTGGCCTGGATGCGCAACGCCACGGAGCGCGTACCCGACGCGCGGCGCCTGCGCTGCGCCTCCCCGCGGGCGCTGTACGACCGGCCTTTCCTGGACCTGGACGAGGCGGGGCTGCGCTGCGCCGAAGGCGACGCCGACGGTCGCGGGGAAGAAGTGGAACTTGCCGGCCCGGAGCTGGAAGCCTCCTACGTCTTCTTCGGGCTGGTTCTGGCGCTCATCGGCCTCATCTTCCTAATGGTGCTCTACCTAAACCGCCGTGGCATCCAGCGCTGGATGCGCAACTTGCGCGAGGCGTGCCGGGACCAGATGGAGGGCTACCACTACCGCTACGAGCAGGACGCAGACCCGCGCCGCGCGCCCGCCTCGGCCGCCCCCGCCGGTTCTGGGGCCACTTCCCCCGGTTCGGGCCTCTGAGCTTCGCTTGTTGGGACTTGGGGATTACCCCTGATGACCTGTCCCGAGGCCGTGGGTATGAGACACCCGCGAACTTGGGGCTTTGAGACCTACGCCTGACCGATCTGAGACCTTTGGATTATGGCATCTCCCCCACCTGGAGGCCCCAAGCTCTACCCCCCTCCCCAGCCTCTGAGAGCTGTCACCATCAAAGATCCAGAGACACTCTCTTCTGATTCCAGAAACCCCATCCACCCATCCCAAGCTCTGACAGCCCTCCTGAACCACCAGAAGCCCCCTCCCCCTTTCAGCACTCACCCAGAGACCCTGTCCTTCAATCCGAAGGCCCTGGGACTGCTTCCACTACCCTGTGCTTTGAACCCAGACCTCTCAGCAGGAAACATCCCCCTAGACTACACTCCAGCTTGCAGCCCTCAGCTCCCTTCGAGGGCTCAGGGACCCTCACATCCCATTCTGGTCTCAGAAGCACAGCAACCCCACCAGAAGGTTTCTGTGGACTTTGAGCCTTTCTTCTCGTTTGGGAGCTCTTAACTCTCCATCCTGCATAGAACCTACATCCCGGGAGTCTGAGGGTTGGGCACCCTCCCCCAATCTGAGGTTGTATTTCATACCACCCACCACCCCAGCTCTTGCTCAGGCCCCTCCCTTCCTTGGCCCAGGCTTGGGGTTCAGCTCTTCTCTATCTCTCCCATCCGAGGGACAGGCACACCCCTTTATAGCCTTAGCGTGGAGCTGATCCTCAGCCTTTCCCACTTTTGGCTCTGATACCCTAATACTCAGTCCTTGTCCCCAATCTCAAACTCTCAGCTCTTCACCCCGATCTGAGTTTCTTCCCCCTGCCCAAGTCTTAGGCTCTCAATTCCTCCTACATCCGTCGCTTCCACTCAGTACCCACACAGCCACTCACTGGCTCAGGGTCCAGTGAGGAATCCATCCCTGGGATATGCCCAGCCCCCTTTCCTCTTAAGGATGAGCTCTCTAGCCCTGCAAAACAGGCGCAGATGTGAAGCACCCCGCAGCCATACTAGCAGATCCCCATGGGAGATGCTGGAGGAGAGAGTCCTGGGGGTGCAAAGTAGATGGTCTGGCCTCACAACCAGGGTCACCCGACCATTTTGCCACAGAGAGGGGTGGGGGAGGGGCTCTGAAGGGCTGGGAGCTGCTGGCCACATTCTCTTTCCCACCCATGTGACCCTTCTCCCTTGGAGAGTCCTCTCTGCCACCTCCCCACCGCTGTCCCCCCGTATGCCTTCTGGAAGAGGAAGGGAAAAGCCCTCCGGTCCAGGGTCATAGCCTCAGCGCCCTGCCTTCTTCATGATCCCAAAGCACAACTGGTGAGTGGGAGGGGCTGCCTCTCCCCGACTCCCACCCCCTGGGTCAGGCAGAATGGCTGGCCTGTGCTGCCTCTGCACGCAGGAAGTCACCCTCCTTCAACATATTGCCTGAGGCCTGCCTTCCCACCCCACCCTGGAAATCTGGATCTCCCTTGGGCAGTTTTCTATAAAGTCTGCAATAATCTCAGATACTCTGCTCTTGTAAACGGTGCCATGTCATTCCTGCTGACCTTGGGTCATTAAAGGGGGTGGGAGGGGACACTTAGAGCAGTTTAGACCTTCCTGAGGTGAAGCAGGGACTCTTGATGTCTTCTCCCGGACTGTGGGAGAAGAAAAGGGCTCTGACTGTACATAGTAAGCTTGAGGCTAGACACATGGAGGGACTTCCCACTGGGATGGCATTGCTCTCCAAACCAGTTCGCTTTTTATGCTGAGACAGTGTTATCCGCAGCCAGGGTAGGGTCCTGCACTTTCTCTACATCCTCTTACCCTTCGGTTCCTCATCACTGCGGTGGGGTGGAGGGTCACGGGGGAGATGTAGTTGGACTGACAGACACTAGCATCAGATGAGGCTATCAGGGAACAAATCCAGCTGCAGACAATCAGAGGCAGTTAATTCAGACAGAAAAGAGGAAGAATCATTATTTGCTGCTTTGACATCGTCCCCTCTGTTGAACTACCTGGTACTCCCTTATGTCCTGTGTCACGCCACGCTTTCCTGGCTAGAGGGTTAAGACCTGCACCTTGGATATGTGAGAGGCTGAGAAGAGAGGTGGCCTAGCAGTGGGGGACGTGGATAAAATAGCCCCTTGAGATATGTGGAACAAGGAGACGGGTGGGTTCTGGGCCAGTAGGGCCAGGATAAGAGGCTCCTACCTCAAGGTTCCCAGGCTGGATTATTTTACATTCAGGGTCTCAGAGCCCTAGAACCACATGGCAGAAGCCTAGAATTCTGGCATTTTAGAATCTTAGGGTTGTGTAATTCTAGAATTTTTTTTTTTTTTTTTTTTTTTTGGTACGTGGGCCTCTCACTGTTGTAGCCCCTCCCGTTGTGGAGCACAGGCTCCGGACGCGCAGGCTCAGCAGCCATGGCTCACGGGCCCAGCCGCTCCGCGGCATGTGGGATCTTCCCGGACCAGGGCACGAACCCGTGTCCCCTGCATCGGCAGGCGGACTCTCAACCACTACGCCACCGGGGAAGCCCTAATTCTAGAATTTGTGTCTTCTAAACATTGAAAGGGACCTCAGAGGTAACGTGGGAAGGCTCATAAACTGTATAAGTGAGGAGCACCCTCTCTCGACGAGCTTACTCCCTCCCCTCCTGGGAGCATCCCTTCCATGCGGTGCCGGAGAAATCTGCCTGGGACTCCCTGACAGTCCCAACTCTGCGCTGAGGCCAGGAGCACACCTCACCCCAGGACAGCTCTTCACAGAGTGGTTGGCAGGGCACGAGCCTCCTCATCTTCTCCCAGCAAATTCCCTACCCCTTCTCCCGGTCATTCCTCGTGAGAAGGGATTAAATTCTCTTGAAGCATTCCCATCCATCAGTGACCTTCAAAGGGTGCTTTGCCAGTCGCGTAGGGGGAAATGGTGGTGTTCTCTCTAACACAGGTTAGAGAACTGTGTCTCTAACAGGTCACCCTGCCCACCACCCCACCCCACCCCCTGCCCCCGCCGCCCAATTCCAAAGACGTAATGTAATGTAGCCTAAGACTACATTAAGTCCTGGCAAATAAAACATACTGCTAGCTGTGGTACACTGTCAGCAAAAATCTTTGAGGGTTTTAGATGAGAGCTGATGCTAAGCTAAATATCAAACCAATAGTTGTCAAAAATAAACTAATTGAGTACCTAATGTATGCCAATTGACATTTAACCTTAGTGCCATTCACACTCCCATTAAATGTTGTCTCTGAGCAGCTTCCCTTCTTGTAGCCTGTCAGTGGCCTTTGGCTTTATGGAACTATCAGCAGGGCCCCAGGGCCCCAGCCTCCTCTGCAAATCCAGCCATTTTCTTAGTCTCTACTAAATACAACTTTGTCAGTCCTAGAAAAGCTAATGACCCAGAGGAGAAATTCTATTCAATCAAGTTCTAGAGAAAAGACGTCCCAGGAAACCATGAGAACTCAGAGTAAGGACCCCTGTACCCAGCCTAGGGAAATTTCTTAAAGTCACATTTGAACAGTGTTTTGAGGGATGAGTAGGAGTTGCAGAACAGAGAAAGATCAGAAGTATCAGCTTGTACAAAGGCCTAGATGCAGGAAGATCTGTTAGTCTGATAATTCAAGAAGACCATTAATGGCTGGGGGTAGCTAGGACGATGTGTGTGGATAAGATGGTTCTGCGTTCCCTTCATTCTCCACTGGGAGGAACTAGAGGGACTTCCACCCTCAGAGAAGTCAGGGAAGTGGGGAGGTGTGCTATGTGGGCCAGGAGAACCGCGTGGTGCTCTTACTTGTTCCTTCCTTCTGCCCATCCTTTTTGTGCCAGGCCTTATGCTGGACACAGGAGACAGAGAGAGGAGTCAGCTAAGCCGTGCCCATGGGAAGCCAGAGGGGGAGGGGGGTAAGGGAAGGGGCCACAAAGAGGTCTTGCAGGAAAAGGTGAGATGGAGGGGTCTGGCTGGCCCTCCCCTGACACCCTGATGTCACCCACTCACTGCAGACCCTCTTTCAGCAGTGCCAGGGACTCACCGAATGGTTAACCTCCCCCTCTAATCAGATGCTGTGAATGCTGCTGGAAGTTTGAGGTGGGCAGGTGACTGCAGGGGCCAAGTGCCAGGGGGGAAGCTCCATCCAGGATGTGCCCTTAAAGAGCAGGTGGGCTAGAGAGCAGGTAGAGGAGAGAGAAAACGTGTGTGACTGTCAGAAGTGTGAAACACATCAAGGCAGCTCAGCACCGAGAAACACGTCAGACTTCCTGGGCTTCTGTGACCCTGTAAAAACTGAAATTTCCTCTCAAACACAAAGGGGAGCCACGATCACCATCTCCTTGAGAAGCCTTTTACTTCTGCGACCCCTTTCCTACCCAGGCCCCTCAGGTCTGGGGTGGGAATAAGTGAGGGCCCAGCTGGAGTCCAGAGGACTGGGTTTCAGTCTGAGCTCAGCATGACTTGCCACGTCGCCTGGACCCCAGTCAGTCAGAAGCATTGGTTAGGCCCTACTGTGTGCTGTGTGCTGGGGATTCAGCAGTGAACACAGCAGGGCCGGCTCGTGCCTTTCTGGTTCAGTCCGACCCCGACTGTGGACACCCCCTGCCCGTCCCTGGCTCCAGGTTCCTTCCGTCAGACCAGGGCTGGACTTGTGACCTCCAGAGGCACTCGCTGCTCTCACTGAAGTCCATCTCCTTCTTCATTAAGTCTCTGCCTGGCAGACTCATGGCCCTAATTTACCGGCATGGCCTTTCCCGGACTGGGAGAAGTTACAGGGGCAGTTAATATTCCTGTGGTAATGAACTTGGCTGCCTTCAGAGTCCCCGCCTTTGCCCCCTACCCCTCCCTCTCCACCTCCACCCTCTTCCCTCAGCCCTGCCTCACAGCGATTTGCCCGGGGATGGCCAGTCCCATGGAGACCCCCTCAACTAACCCTTCAGTGTACTAGTGGGGAAGTTGTGGCCCAGCGAGTGCAGGAGCCCATCCAGGTCACACAGGGTGTCAGGAGCAGAGCAGATCCAGAGCTCAGGGTGCCCCCTGGGGCCATCCCTGCCCTGCTCTGGGTCTGAGTATCTGGCAGTTCTGCCCCATCTCCAAACTCTGTATCTCCACCCCTGTGGTCATTGCCACCTGCGGCCAGGCCTGTGGTGCCCTGGAGATGAGCAAAAAGCCAGCAAGGAAAAGGTGGAGAGCTCTCTTCAGCCTCCATCAGCAGCTTCCAGGAGGCCTCAGAAACCTGCCCCAGCCTCTTGCAGGCAGACACTCTGATGGGGGCTCCTTCTCAAGGGAAGGGGCATCTCTACCCTCTCCGAGAGGAGAAAGGGGCTTGTTCTGGACCCGCAGGCTCTGAGGTCCCCCTGCATGAAACTCATCCTTCCTGAGTCTCTCCTCTCTGCCGAGCACCTGCTGAGATGGACCATACCCGGCTCCTGTGCTTAGTAAAGATGGGGTCACTGTGATAATGGAGGCATGGGGGCCCCAAACTAAGGTGACCATCCAAACTAGGAAACTTTGGAGAGTGAAAGGGACCTCTATTAATAATTACACTGGGGGGGCTTCCCTGGTGGTGCAGTGGTTGAGAGTCCGCCTGCCGATGCAGGGGACACGGGTTCGTGCCCCGGTCTGGGAAGATCCCACATGCCGCGGAGCGGCTGGGCCCGTGAGCCATGGCCGCTGAGCCTGCGCGTCCGGAGCCTGTGCTCCGCAACGGGAGAGGCCACAACAGTGAGAGGCCCGAATACCGCCAAAAAAAAAAAAAAATAATAATAATAATTACACTGGGACAAGAATAAACTAGGACTGTACCAGGCTGTTGGGCCCTGGGCTACAATGACTTTTGACAAGACTTGGAGGGGAAAAGAAAAAGTGCCAGACTGCTAGACTAGCTAGTCTGCCAGCTCTAGATAACTGATACACCCCCTGTCCTTGCCCCTGTCCTCCAGCCATGCTAAACAACTTCCTGAATACTACTCTCTAGCCGCACCAGACTACTCAGATTTTAGTAACAGAGCCCAGCTAGCTATTCCAGTCTCCATGCCTTGCTCACACAGTACCCTCTGCCTGGGATGCCTTACCCCCAACAGAGAGCAGCAGGACAGCTCAATGGTCCCCTCTGCTTTCCTGACCTCACCCTCTTCTTCCTGTCTCTGGACACCCCCAGACCTTCATTTGGACTGATTTGTTTTCTGGCCCATTGTCTGCACCAGACCAGACACTCCCTGCAGGGGCTGGGCCCAGTTCCCTTTTGGGTGCCTGACCCTGGTGCACAGAGATTTCTGAGCACTGCACCCCACAGAAGACCAAAGCGCAGAGGAAGAGGCATCACGCAGGGCTCGCTCTGGCCTCCTTCTGCTGTATGTCTGATGCCCACTCCCTTTAAGTCCCACAACCTCTCACCTTGTTGAACTGAGGCTGCAGTTATAGAAGATGCCTGCATGGTCAGCTCCTTGTTACTATTCAATAAAGTGAGAGAACAGAAAGAAAATGCAGCTTTAGAATATGTAATCATGTAAAACATAATTTAGCTTTAGCTTTTAGACT